TTAATTAAGTGAGAGAAAATTTGAGATTTAATCAAGTGAGAGAAAATTAATCTAAGGGTTATATTTTAACCCTCTCATCCTCTCATAATAAATTCCTCTCATTTGATATGCTCCCTATATATATATATATATATAATCTTTTCAAATACGATACAATGTTCTTATAGTTATCGTTTTAGATTTCCGACGGAAAATTCCGTCAAAAATTTCTGACAGAAAATTCTGTCGGGAATTTCCGACGGAATAATTCTATCGGAAATTTTCCAGCAGAAATTTTCGATGGATTTATTTTTCTGTCGGAAATTTCCGACAAAATTTTCTGTCAGAAAGTTTCTGTCGGAAATTTCTGACAGATTTATATTTCTGTCAAAAATTTCCGACGAAAAATTTCTGACGAAAAATTCCGTCAGAAATTTTTGACGGAAATATAAATCCGTCAGAAATTTCTGACGGATCCATATCCGTCGGAAATTTTCCGTCGAAAATTTACATTTTTCTTGTAGTGATTTGTTAATAAATGACAATATCTCCACACAATTATCATAACATATTTCCAAGATATCATACAACGTCATCTCAAAACTTATGGATAAAATCAATCACTTATATATGGAGCATGAAACACTACACTACAAGAAAATTGTCATATAGTGACACACACCCTATAATGACACAATATATGTCACCAAAAACTACTTTTACCCACATAATAAATACATTATATGTTGGTATATTGTTAAAAAGTGTGGATATAGGCTATAGTAACACACAAAATATGTTGTTCATATTTAAAATCAACACTAAAATTATATGTAACTATATGTCAAATAGATATATGTATATATACATATATGGTACTTATAATGACACTTTTTATATGTGACTATGTGTAATATTTCTTGTAGTGAAGTATCATTAGACTTTACTCTCATTCTTAACTTAAACTCCCATTTAACTAAAGCATTAGAGTATCTTTATTAGTGCCCTTTCTCATTAGGATATTGGAGCAACTAGATGTCTCCGTTATTGAAGTACTTGCAGATTTTGATAAGAACAATAATTATATACCAAATTTTTATTCATTATAAGTAGAAAACATAATTCTCAATAAATGTTAATTTTAATAAAAATCAATCACTATAAAATTTTTAATGAAACCTTAATCCATCTTGGTTGTTCAGCCTTTTGTCAAGTCTTCTACATCATTTCTTAATTTTATAATTCAGTTAACTAATTCTCATCTTACTACTGGATTTTGTTGTTCCAAAAACAAATTAGAAGGGAAGATTGAGAAAAACCTGGTTCTTCTAATAAAATGAAAATCTGTAACCGAATCTAGGAAGTACCTTAATCGGTAGGTGTTTAGAGGCAGAAAATGGCATGTTTAATTGAAACTAAATAACTAACTATATCCTTTTGTGGTGTGTATGGATTTGTATAATTCAAAATGAAATAGATTATAGTATGAAAAATATAGATGCAGAAAAGGTTTGAAATATTAATATAAATAACTAACTCTGTTACCTGGTTGAGACTGTCTATGAATGTTTAAGCCACACTATTTTCTGAGTATTCGAATTGTCGAAGAAATATAATTTTCATATCCGTCGAGTCAAAATATTTATAACACATGCAGGCACTCAACTTAGAATGAATGGTTCAATTTTTTATTCTGTCTCCCCAGAATTACTTTGATTTTGCCAATGGACATCAAGTTTAAGTAATTCCTTTCTTTGATTCTGTCAATGGACATTAAGTTTAAGTAATTCCTTTCTTTGATTCTGCCAATTTCCAAAATCCTTTCCTGTAATCTTTAGTAATTCCTTACTTAAAACTAAGGCCAGTCTAGAATAAGAATATCACAATTACTTTGTCACCACGGAATGCATGCTTTTCAAGTATTTTGGCTAAGTGACACAATAATCGATTATTGTAGTATTAAAAATTATTTAGTTAATGAAAATATTTCGTGTATATTAAAATATATTAATAAATACTTCATTTAAAATTCAATTAAAAATAAAATAATATTTTCTATTTTGTAATGTCATTAATTAATTACTAATAACTGCTACATTTATGTTTGATTAATTAATAATTAATTATACTAATAATATTGATTTACAAATTACTAATACTACTAAATCTAAAATTCAAATAAAAATATAAATTATAAAAATTATTAATAAAAGCTATATTAAGAAATTACTTACAACGAAAGCAAATACAATATCTATATTATCAATTAAATATAAATATTGTATAGTCCATAATATATATGTGTAATTATAGTAATTCTACTTTTGTGATTTTGTCCCCATTCTAAGTTTTAATACTTTATATATATGTTACAACTATTACATATTTAATTTAATGGGTTTTTTTTTTAACATTACTATTTAATATAATTGATATCTACAATGCTAGCTATAAAAACATAAACGATATTTAATTTGAAAATGATTTGGGTCTCTTCAACTCTGTTATTTGGTTGGACTCAATTATTTATAATTTTTATTAATTAATAACTTCATATTAATTTTAAATTTTGTAAATCTAACCGTTAGATTAAAAGTTTATATCACTTTATATATATATATATATATATATATATATATATCAAATTTTGTTAAAGTTAAACAATAACTTAAAAATAATCAAAGTGTTCAAATTTTAGTATATTTTGAAATGAATATATTACGTCAATTTTGTTTTATAAGAATGAAGTATCAAATCATCATGAATTAATATAAAATTTTGTATATAATATAAGAGTAAAGAACTTTTAATCTAACAGTTAGATTTATAAAATTTACATTTAATATAAAATTATTTAATAGTGTAATACTTAGTAAAAGTTACACCTATATTATTATAACCCTCCTATATATATAATCCAAATTATGTTGTCTAATTCTATATGTATATTCTTATTTATATTATTTTCATATTTCTGTATTTTTGACTTCTTCTGATTTTATGATCGTTATTTTTATTGTATTTTCTGCGTGTAATATAAAGTAGGTATTCTTCTATTAACAATTCAAAATAATATTAAATTTAAATCTGACAGTATTCTTCTGCCCACCTAAATATTGTTCTTATTTTTTTTTAGTGATGTAATACAAGAAGCAAAAGCAACTATTTATCCCTTTTAATTTATTTTGTAAGACTTATTATTTTTAAACATAAGAATGTAAAAGAATATATCTGGTGTTAAATTATGAATCAAAATTGCAAATATTGAATGAAGAGAGCATCATAAAAATATTAATTTTATTCATGTTAATGAACATTTATTACTTTTAAAAAATTTAAGAATTAAAATACAAATAAATAGCATTTTTATACTTTTTAAATAACATTTATTATTATTATTATATATATATATATAATATCACCTATTATGAAATAAAATTTCACCAAATAACCCCGATTAGAATGAACCAAATTATAAGAATAAAAAATATCATATTTTTTTTATAAATATTAAATTAAATTAAATAATTTAATAAAATATATTTTTTCAAGTTTAATTAACCTTTAATATTAAATTATTTAAAAATATTTGAACAAATTTTGATAAATATTTTATAATGAAAATGATTACTAATTATTACTAGATTTTTGTTTTAATATTATTACTAATTACCAGATAAAGTAGAAATAGAAAGAAACAGGTAAAGTAGATTCATAATGATGGTCATATCCTTTATCAATTGCCAGGATAAAAACAAGCAAGATATATGTTTATAAACTGATTAATATGACTTTGAACTTGAAAGCATTCTCTCTTATCTCTTACATTAAATAAGTAGTCTTCGTATCTTTCATATTCCTCCTCGTAACTTCATTCCTGAAAGGATTAAAAGATGAACCAAATATGTCAATTCAATAATTTACAAACATTTTTTTTTGGATCTAAGATTAAGTGCAATTGTTTCATTTTGAAGAGAAAATTGTAATTATATATTCTCATAAGTAGTATATTTCATTAAAAATATTAATATAGTTTACTGAATAAAAATATTAGTATGCAACCTTAGCGAATCATGTACAAGGTGAATCAAAATTAAACTTGATAAAAAAAAATGAATGATGTAGAACAAATGCTATCATGCATATTTTTCTTTTTAGTTTTTAATTACATCATTATTCATAGTTAGCTCTTTTCTTCATATGATTGTATATCTCATGTTTTTTTATAACGTAATTTTTCTTAATAAGATTAAATATCTCATGTATTAAATGAGAACAATTCCCATTTTAAGAGTGTAATAACTTTAAATTTTAATTTTATAGTTATATATGAATGGTCAAAATAGAAAGTTATTTAATAGTTACACGATCACTTTAAAATGTCAAACGTGTATATATATATATATATATATAGGAGAGGTAAAATATTTACT